CCTCGAAAGGCGGTTGCCCTGCCGGCCCGGCCGGGGGCGAGCGGGCGGGCGGCCCCGGGCTGCGGGCACCTGCCTCTTTTGTCTGCTGCCAGCGGGCTTTCAAGAGGTAGTGGGGGTGCGGCCCCCCAGGCTTTTTGCTGCCTTGTTAGTGGTGATGGAGAGCCAGGGTTGAGAAGCTGGGAGAGCTGCTTGTCATTGTCGAGAGCTGGCTGCGGAGCGAGGACCAAGTCTAGTCAGCGCCGGGAAGGAGTGGCCGGGCCCGGCCTCTTATTGTGTGTGTGCTTTCCCGTGTCCCCGGGCGGGTGGCGTGTGCTGGAGGATGAGGACGATCCGTGCATGGTGGTGGCTGCGGCTTGGGTGTTGCGAGTGCATTTGCAGGGTCTCAAGTTCTTTCGGGGACAGCAAGGCTGCCTCTTGTTCGAATTAGTACCTGCAGTGCTGAAAAGCATGCGGAGAAGAAAAGGCATTTTCCTCCCAGTGGGAGTGCACGAACAGCCCCTGCATTGCCCCACAAAAGAGGCTGCGTTTGAAATCCAGGTTTGTGCGGAATTGTTGCCGAATTTGACAAGGAGACGCTTGTGGGTGATAGAGATGAACGGTTTCATTCAAACCGGCTCCGTCTCTGCCGCACCTGAGAATGTGTGCCCAGGTTACCGTGCACACGCGTATAGTGACCACACTGCGGGGTGTTCCATGAAAACGTTTTATGACTGTTCCCGAATATATTACCTTTCAGTGGGAACGGAAAGTAGGACAGCGTTTTGATATGAAATGTCACATGGACTCGGGTCAGAAGGGATTTTAAGAGGTGATATGGAGGCAAATGAAAAAAGATGTGCACACACCCTGTGATAGCTATCAGTGGTGGTGCGCGCACCCGGAAGGTATGTGGTGCCTTTTAGTTCACGCCTGTATATCTACCTGAACCCTAATCCCAGTGCTAAAATATGCCCTGGGACTTCAGGTCCAGCATCTATTTGGATGTGGTAGTGCTTCTGACGTTTTTTTTTCCTTGGGGTGCGTGTTTGTAAATTTCTGAAACAAGAACCCATGTGGATGAACAGAGTTTCCTCAAAATGGTGAGAAATCGCACTGAGAATAATCATGGATGTTACTTTCTTAGTGTGACAGTGTTTATAGCAAGAGCCAGTAGCCCTTCTTCCCCACCCAGGGTCTCTGGTCTTTTGGTGCCACAGCACGTGCGTGCCCAGGCCCTTGGCCACCTATGGTCTGTGAATAGGGAGATGTGTGTTCTGTCCGGCTTGCTGTGCGGAAAGTATGAACTTGTGCAAGGCCAGTGAATCTTTTTCAGGAGCTCTTGGTTCAGACACATGACTTAGCCAACGAAAGAGCTTAGCCACCCGAGAGCAGGGAAGGAGCACCTATTCTGAGGTTGTAAATAACTGCCAGAACACTGTAGGGTGTGGAGTGTGGTTTTCGTTTTGAGTGTGGGTTTTTTTTTTTGTCGATTTCATCCTTGCTCATTTTCAGACAGGTGTAGTGAAGGAGAATGAATGATGTGGGTGCTTCCCTGGATGAAGGTGTGATCCAGTAGGAGGAAATATGTAAAATAAAACAAAATAAACTTTCCTCTACTTTAAATTGTTCTCTTTTTTTTATCTTTTCATTAGGCATGGAGTTCATGGTATTAAAAGCCTATTCCCCTTAGGGAATTCAAACAACTGCCAAATTATTTGGCGTTTGTCAATTTGGAGTAGCTAACAGCTTCTTAGAAGATTTATACTTTTTCTGGTAACATAACTATGTCATCTTTTGCTTCATCCCTATTTTCTTTCATTTATCTCAGTTTGGGAGAAATCCCTTAAATCCCTAGAGTTGGAAGAATGATCACTGTCTTTAAAAATCAAACAAAACCTTCAAAAGTCAATTTATCTTTTCTAATTTATAAAGTTTTGAAGAGCCTTGTGAGTTTGCTGTGAGTACTGGCATTATCCTTTGCCCCATTCCCCATTCACATACCCCTTTTGGAAGACAAGTGAACTTACTTTAAAAACATAAATTAGAAAGTAGGACCAGTTACCAATATCATGGACAAAATACTGGTTCTGTTACACAATTAATGCCTACAGAATTAGATATCAAAGTGGGTAATTGTTTTAAAGTTATCTAACTTCAAAATGAATAAAACCAGTTCATGGCAACCTATGTATAGTATAATAAACTAAAGTCACACTCAACTTTGCTACCGCTCTTCCAATCACCAGGCCTGTCAGTGTGGTCAGTGTTAGACTCGTGAGCAGATAGAATCATGGACATTAGAGGCATGGCAACCACTACTTCCTCCACGGTGGGAATCAGCTTGTCTGTTCAAGGTTATTGAGCTAGTTTGGAGTGAGGTCTTTAAAAACCCCTGCTTTATATGTTGCCGTGGGGCCAGTGTCAGGGGAGGGAGGGACAGAGAGCACCAGCTTTGGAGTCACAGTAAATCTAGGTTCAAATCTCAACCTTCTTAATACCCAAGTTTCAACCCTCAACTGAGAGTTGGCATCTTGGATAAATTCCATACCCAGCCCTAGTCTTGATAATATCACCTACCTTGTTAGATTAATGAGAGGTTTAGAAGAGAATTTTTTAGCATATTACACAACAAATAATTGATGAATAATAGTGTCAGACATATCCCAGATGTTCAATAAATGTTGGTTTCTTCCACTTCATTTCAGGAGTACAAATCTCCAGCCATGCTTTCAGGCACAAAATTTTAGCTACTCTGAATGGATTAGAGGTCAGTCTACTAAGGGCAAAAGGGAGGTCAGGGACACAGCAATACTTTTGTGAGTTTTGGCTGTATCAAAAAGGTACTATGTCAGAGATGTCCAACCTGTGGCCCATAGGCCACATACTGATTGTATGTGAGGACCTTTTTTTTTGTTTGTGGTGTCAGATATCACAAAAAGCACGGAAACACCTTTTTTTTTTTCCTTTCTAATCAGCTTTCCTTAGTGTTTGTGTATTTAATGTGTGGCCCAAGGCAACTCTTACTCTTCTAATGTGCAGCAGAGAAAAAAAAGGTTGGACACCAATGGTAGGAGGTGGGATTTGAAAAGTACTTAGGAGGTTCTTGTTTCCAATTTTCCATTTGCCTTATATTGTATTCCAATGTGCCTGAATGCTAAGGTACTTCCACTTTCTAGATCAGTGGTTCTCAACCTGTGGGTCAGGAGGCACAGGAATTGTATTACAGGGCCGCGGCATTGGCAAGGTTGAAAACCACTGTTCTTAATTATTCTATTAAAACACAGACTCCCTCCCTCACCCCCTGCAAGAGGTACCACCATGAGCAACCCAGTAGCAAGCATGAATTGATCCCCCAGGCATCTTGCTATTAACAAGGCCCCATGGGGGGTAAAATGGGGCAGGGATACCTTTCGGAAGGTTGTGAGGTGAGATCAGGAGGACCCAGGAGCCTCCCTTGCCAGAAAGGAAAGACTTTTCCTACTAGTTCTTTTTTGTGCCAGGGTCAAGAATAGAAAAGCAGATTTTATTAATACAAAGATCTTAATACCAATCACATGCCAGACACTATCCTAAGGGTTTCATGTGCATTAACTTATTTAATGGTAAAAAACAAACAAACAAACAAAAACAACTTATTTAATGGTTAATATTAACTGTGAGGTAGGTACTATTCTTATTCCCATTTTGTGGTTGAGGAAATCAGTGTTCAAAGATGTTGATCAAGTAGATTTCTCAAAGTTATGCAGGGAATACAGGGTCAAATGTGAATCAACATCTTTAAACCTCCACTACAAAGACAGCAAAAGCCTTGGAAGGAAGGCAAAATCCTCCAAGGAAGAAGTAAATGTTTTCCTTTCCCTTCTTCTTCTCCTTCTCTTTTTTCTTCTTTTGCTTCTTTTTTAACGGCTCTTATGTGAATCACTAAATGTAAATAAATGAGTTATGGTGAAATTGCTTTTAAAAATAATGAATATGTGAATAAGTTGGGAGATCTTCCTTAAGTTGGTACAGCCTACGGATTGATTTAATTTGCTCTCCATCTGGCCGTGGGGAGCACAAAAGCTAAGTAAAACTTTTGCAATCTGACTGTTAAATACTGCCTGCCTGCGGGCCCTCCCTCCCTCTGTCTCTCTTTTTTTCCTGGCCCACCATGACCATTTGCCTTTCCACGTATTTAATAGGAAAGCACATTTTCTACCCGCCACTAGGTAGGGTGCCCTGGAGGGACCTGTGGGCTTTGGTGTCAGCAAACTTGGGTCTGAATTGCTGTTTAAAGCATTTCTCATCTTGATTGCTTGCTTAGAGAAATGTAGGCAAATTTTTTCAGTGCTTCAGTTTCTTCATCTGTAAGGAGGGAATACTTTGTTTTTTTTTTGTTTTTTTTTTTTGGAGACAGAGCCTCAAGCTGTCCCCCCTGGGTAGAGGGCTATGGCGTCACTGCTCACAGCAACCTCCAACTCCTGGGCTCAAGCCAGTCTCCTGCCTCAGCCTCCCAAGTAGTTGGGACCACAGGCGCCCGCCACAATGCCTGGCTATTTTTTGGTTGCAGCCATTATTGTTGTTTTGCGGGCCCAGGCTGGGGATTCGAACCCGCCACCTTAGGTGTATGTGGCTGGCGTCTTAGCCGCTTGAGCCACAGGCGCCGAGCCAGGAGATAATACTTTGAAAGTCAATTGTGACTACCGGAAATAAGATCTGTTGCAGCCTGTTAACGTTGCAGGCAGTCAGTAGGCAGGAACTGTATTGGCCCAGGCCCTGTTGTCCAGCTGGGTCCAGGAACAACACCATGTAATTCTCTCCTGGTCTAAACTGTGGTTGATTAATAGGTGGTTTCCACTGGGGTCTGCCCCTTCTTTCTCCACCATTGGATGCCTCCTACCAACTATGCCGTCAGTTACAGCAGGATCTATCTCCACCACGCAGTTCCCATGCAGAGCCTTTGAAATCACGATATTGAAATAACTTTGAGGTGTGTGTCTGCTTTTGTTTCTGGGGCTCGCAGGTCCATCTTGAAGTCCATCATGTCCTTCGGCAGAGACATGGAGCTGGAGCACTTCGACGAGCGGGATAAGGCTCAGAGGTACAGCCGCGGGTCGCGAGTGAACGGCCTGCCCAGCCCGACGCACAGCGCGCACTGCAGCTTCTACCGCACGCGCACGCTGCAGACGCTCAGCTCCGAGAAGAAGGCCAAGAAGGTGCGTTTCTACCGAAACGGAGACCGGTACTTCAAAGGGATTGTGTATGCCATCTCCCCAGACCGCTTCCGATCTTTTGAGGCCCTGCTGGCTGATTTGACCCGAACTCTGTCGGATAACGTGAACTTGCCCCAGGGAGTGAGAACCATCTACACCATTGATGGGCTCAAGAAGATTTCCAGCCTGGACCAACTGGTGGAAGGTGAGCGCTACCGGATGGTCCCCATGGCACCCTACAGGTTCCTTCTCCTGTGTCCGCACATAGCCACTTGAGAGTTCGCGTTCAGCCTGTGGCTACCATCCTTCTTGTTTCACACCTTTGAGTTTGCTGTACTGTAGTGGAAAGAGGAAAAAACTAATGCCATTAGGTCAGGTAGCTGATAGCGGCGGGCTGAGGAGAAACACACAGAGTTCTATAGCATTCCCTCGGCTTTCTCACACCCATGCTGTGTTACTTTTAAAAATCCATTTTTATATATTCAGTCGCGTATTTCATATTCATTTCTAAATTGGAAACTTTTGCTATCACGATGTCCAAAAAGTACTTGGACATCTGAAAGTGACTAATGGATCATGGAATTTTAGAGTTGGAAGGAACCTTAGATGGCTATCAAAACCATTAATTTTATCTTTGCACTTCGAGACCCACAAAATTCAAAGGACACGGTAAGATAGTGGTGACACTGGACCCCAAATTAGGTTTTTCTGACAACCTTTTCCACTGTGATGCTTCCTTTTAAGTTTAAAAGATGATTGTCTTTCTGTGACATCTGAGGACAGGAAGGAGGTAATCCGTTTATTTTGTGAGTTCAATTTAGATTAATAGTAATTATCTGTTTTAGACATTTAATGTGGAAATGGCATTCACTAGATCCACCAGTAAGGCCTGCTATCTTGTGCAGAGTAGGTGGTCACTGACTGTGCTACATTTGTCTCAGGACAGAGTCTTGTTTGCATAGGGAGGGACATAAAGCCTCTCCTTAGAAATTGTAAATTGAATTAGAGTGAATTGGAGAGAAATAACTGAAGCTAAACATGTGGTAAGGTGTAAACTAGCATGGCAGATCCTCTTTGAAGAGTGAGTTATTCTGAGACCGAAGTCTCAACGCCCCAGTGCGTGAGTAGAAGGCACCAAGGAGGTCAGACAAAGTGTCCGAAGAGCTGGATTTTGCCTGAGTTCATTTTTACTCCAGCAGTATTCACCCAGGCCCTGTTGTCCAGCTGGGTCCGGGAACAACACCATGTAATTTTCTCCTGGTCTAATGCAGGTAGTGGGAATCGTCCCTTTCATCCCCCTTGGATTCCGGGGCTGCCTCCCCTGACCGCACACTGACAGAGCCCTTTTGTAATTGCTTCGTATGTGATTCACGGAGAAGGGCTTCTCCCCCTAACCTGCCTTTTATCCCTTGGCAGGAATGCCAGACTGGTCACAGTATGACTAAACTTGAGCATGTGCACAGGAACCTGGACTTGGTGTGTTTATTTTGTGGGAATTCACATTTCTTTTTGGTTACTTGTCACTCTGCCAAGGTGCCTGTGGACTTGGCCTTTTTTATTCTACTCAGGGGTTGGAACTTCCAGTTAATTAAAGGGGAAGAATGAACATGCAATCTTTGTGTATCAGCTTTGATTTCTGTGTGTTATCCTTTGCATGACCTTGGAATATACAAGGATTAATAAAACATTTAGTTATATATTCCAAGGGATCTGGATAAAGATCAGATGGAAAGTCAGGTGCATGAACAGTCACCAAGCCTGTTGAGGGCTGATGGTTTTATAGGGAAAATGTGCCAAAATCTCAAAGCATGTCCTCAGACAGCCATGGAGGAGATGTCTCCCTCTGTCCTAGAGCCACTTGTGCTGCATCCCTGGGGGTAGTTTTCCACCCAGAATTGATCTTTACTGAGAAGTGGTCAGCAATGTTCTCATAACCCCCATCCACCAAGGAGAAGGCCTGGGGACAGATGATAGTACTCCTTTCACATGTAGGGATCAGCAAAATTGTGGCATGCTGGCCACTACCTTCTTTGTATTTATCTGTTACTGTAAAATAATGCTCTGAGAGACTGGAGATGATGATAGCCCACATTTATGGAGCATGGGCCAGGCAGTTGGTCAGAATTCCTTGCATATATAAATACATTTAATTCTCACGATGATCCTAGGAGGTAGGAACTGTTGTCCTTCTACTGAAATGAGGCACAGTGTGATTAAATGATCTGCTTAAACTCACACAGCAAGAAATGGTAGAGTTAAGATCTGAACCAATGGCGGCTGGTGTTAAAGCCTGAGCTTGTAAATGCCACTAATGTTGTATGCTGTGAATTCAACTCCTATAAAAAGCACTGTTGTACTCAATTTAATACAGTGGATTATTATTTGATATAGCAGAATGTCAGAATGTTAGACATTTTAGTGTAAAGGTAACTGTAATACAACCATAAGTTGTTCCCACTTCTGTCAGTGGGAACAATGTTAAGTACTTTTTGAAAACAAATGTTTTAAATCTTGACTTAATTCCAGGAAAGAAAGATGCTGCTCCCAGAAACACTTTATTATTTTCATTTACTCCCTAAATACTTTTCCTTCCTATCAGCATGAACTAACTGCAGAATGAATATTTTGATACTTAAAAATTATTTAAGAAAATATCTTTTTTGTGATTGGTAACTTCAGTACAGTGTGTGAATTCACACATTAGTTGCATGTATTTTTTGAATTTTCAGTTTGAACGGATTCTTTTTCTAATTCATAACACTGACAATTAGCATGCAGCTGTACTTAGTGTTTAAATAGCTGGAAATTCATTTAGATTGGCCTCTTTGTCAATTACATTTTTGCTTAGTCTGTTAAAATTCAAACCGTTGCTTCATATTCATCATTAGGCTCATATCGCTCACTTCACATACTAATTTTATGTAAACGTCAATGCATGTTATTAGCTTTTCATTTCCCCTTCCAACATGATGATGTTGGAGTTTTATATTAAATCCTTTTAGTGGTTGCAGTGACAGGTGTATTTGACTTCTAATTGTTTTTTTAAGTTTCTTCTTTCTCACTTGTTCTTAGGCTAAAATTTCTGAATTACAATGATCTATGTGAGTTTCTTTATAACAGTCACATGGTCACTTTTGCTTTTATATTATTAGGGGATCATTATCCCAAATGTGGTTTACACCTGTTGATAGAGTTGGCTATGAGCCCAAATTTTATATGTATGAGTATGTACCTATGTGTGTGTGTGTGTGTGTGTCTACCTATGCCTTGTATTTAAATATACACACACATAACATTTAAGAGTATACCAAAGGCTACACTCTTGTTTGCTTTCAAAATGACTTTTAACGTGTTTTAAAAAAATCATGATACTTAATAAGGAAAGTTGAATCGCAGGCCTATTTCTGCAAGTGATTCATCTTGAGATGTGGCCTCATTTCCCCCAATTTTGTGCCATTTATATTCTACAGTGGATATGTAAATGTTAGAAAAATAAAGGAAGGTATAATACATAACGCCTTTGACATCTTAGGGGAAAGACTTAATGTAAATCCTGAGCTTTGTTGGGCGATGGATTGACTGATATGCCCTTCCTTCAACATCATGAGAGGGCCCAGGATTTTCTTTATGCATTAGGATAAGAACTACAGGAGATGTGTCATCCTCTGAGTACAGATAAGTTAATTTGTTCATCAGTTCTACATTCTCTCTTCTTCCTCTGTTCTCATTTATGTCTTAGCCCCTTACCAACCTGCCATGGGCATTGCTTGAGTCTGCAGTTGTAGTTTTTGTAAGGGCTTTTCCCAAGTTCCCATCTGAATTCACCCCTCAGGAATAAACGCATACTTTACCCCATGGTTAGGGAATCTCTGTCCCACTATTGCTCCTGGATTATCCATTTTTCCTGTTCTCCTGAGTGTCTCTTCCTTTCTCTAATTCACTAGCTTCCTCTGTGCCTCTCTCTGCTATATCAATTTTTTTTTTGGCTGGAGCTGGGTTTGAACCCTCCACCTCCGGCATATGGGGTTAGTGCCCTACTCCTTTGAGCCATAGGTGCCACCCATGCTGTATCAAATTTTTAAAAATTAATTTTTGAATAGTTATAAAGCACACTCTCCCTAAAGTTCCCCAGAGGCAACCACCTTCACTAGATTTTTGAGTATGATCTCAGTGACAGCAGTTCCCGAAGGATATACACACACAGTAGTGCCCCCTTACTCTCCAGAGATAGGTCCAGTGGATCCCTGACACTGCACTCAGGACCAAACCCTAAAAATAATGTTTTCTTCCTGTGCATGCATACCTCTCATAAAGTTAAATTTATAAATTAGGCACAGAAGAGACTAAAAACAATAGCTAATAATAAAATAGAACAATTACAGCCATCACAATTAACATTTGTACCTCTCTGACAAACAATATTACTTCCAGTTACATGAATCCAGCATGGGCATCATAGAGAGACCCCACCTCCTAAAAAGGAAGTTATATGAATGTTGGGTCACTCTTCCTCTCAAAGTATCTTCCTGTACTGTAGTCAGCCTTCCTCTAGATGGTGAGAATTTCAATTTCGCCACACTACCCATACAGCATGCAATTTAAGATTTATGCAATATTTATTTTTCTGGAATTTTCCATTCAATATTTTTGGACTTCAGGTGACTGTGGGCAACTGAAACTGAGGAAAGTGAAACCAGAGATAAATTAGGTGGTAATTTTTTATGCTCACAGATCTGCACCTTGCTTTGTGTACTTAATATATCTTGGAGATCTTTTCCTATCATTACATCTAGAGCTTCTGTGTTCTCTTTACTGACTGCATAGTACTCCTTTATAGAAATGTACCACACCTTATTGAACCAGCCTTTTATTGATGTACTTATAGGTTGTGTGCCATTCTTTGTTACTACAAACAATTTTTCAATGAATATTTTTGGGTATATGTTTTCCACTCATGTTAGAAAGTATCTTTAGGATACATTCCTAGAAGCAATGTTGTTGGATAGAGGTACAAACCATTAAACTTTTAAGAGCTAGTGCAAAATTCCTCTCCATAGAGGTGATTAAAGTTTACACCAACTAGTAATGTATGAGAGCAGCTATTTTTCGACATCCTCAACAAGATGGTTTGTCATCAAATGTTTTGCCATTTGCCAACCTATTAAGAAAAACAAAATGAGTATCTTGTTATAGTTTTAATTTCCA